TGAGACAACGTGCTTTTTGGCCGCGCCCACCAATGAGTTCGAGCCCGCGACTTGCCACCTACGCAATTCCTTTGTATAGTGCGACGTTGCCACTCTTATTAGTTATTCCGCTTTGTAATATTTTATTTATAGGTGATATTTTGTTTATGTAGGTATTCGATAGATTCCTATAGTCTGTTTTTTTTCGCAGGAGACAAAAATAATAGATATATGTTAGATTCGTTTAGCACGAATAATACAGTTTTTATGATTCTGGTTCAGATTAGATTTAATTTTAGTCACTTAAATTTCGTGTATTGTTCAAAATAATGAAATAAATCCACAGAATCTGCAGTTACGTAAAAAAGCAATATCATTTTAGTCTCCGGCGAAAAAAAAAAGATATATATCATGATTAATTTAGCAACTAGTTATTCGTTTACTAAATACGAAAAAATATTTAGACGTCATTTTTCTTCCAATCTTGCTGTACTGAATATTTACGTAGTCCTTATATTAATAATTATAATTGCATAAGTTGATACAAAATGCTATGCTTTATCGCGGCAGTCCCCGAGTGCCACACGTCTTTTTTTTCGGTATTACAGTAAGATAATTCAGTTTTATTTATATATATGTGAACATTATTTTTTATCAAAAATTAAATAAATACAGTTTATAAAGCTATTGTTTCTACGTTATTTTATACAATATGTCACTTTAAAATATTGTCCCTGGAGCAAATAACTTATTTAATGAATCAATTTAAATCTCCTCAGAGAAGGTTAAGAAAGCGTATGAAATAATTGAGTTTATATTTTGATATAAAAGAACTGATATCTTTCCAACGTATTGAAACAGAAAGAAAGTTTTATAAAAAGTTATTGACATGTAAAGATTTGTTGCCAAGAGTGCCATTTATTATGGCTACGGCACGAATGGATCATATTTCTTGCACATACGTTTGTGGTTAAATATAAAGCTTTGAATAAAACAAGATAGTGACGTAGTAATACCTTTTTGAGCAAATGAGTGGAACATTCAGTAGTTATTGTTTTCAAAATCCAATTGTTTTTAAAGTAAAATTAAATAACTTCGACTTGAGATCCAATAAGTTTTATTTATTATGGTAAACATATGTTGGTTAATTTTGTACATATTAGTATTGTTCTCCAGACCAAATATACAACCCGGCGACAGGTATTAACGGAGATTAGGATGCAGGAATAATTATAATAGTGCACGAGTGTGTACGCGAGCACAGGTAAACTCTCTATTCCCTTCCTCTAGTCAGATGAGGCGGCAATCTGTCACGACCGCACAGAAATCAGGCGCAGTACGTGCCGTTTTTCGTACTTTTGTACTGCGCCTTCGCATTTCAGCAGTGCGGTGAAATGCCAACTTACTTACTCTAGGATCCTACTAAGATTTTTGTTTAGAATAAAACCCAGTATCCCACTTTTGGTTATCGCCATCATATGATAACCGACCTACGTAAAATAATCCATCACTCAATTTCGTCCCGTGCGTTATAGAGGAAACGACGGGAAATCCTAGAGAAATCGCAAGAGGCGACTATGGGTAACACCAGAAATATCTCATGGCTTTCAGTAGATAACGGTATTACCATTTTGTTTACGTCCGACATAAAATACGAAGACCGATGACTGGCAGTAGTTTGGTTGAAGCTACAAAGCTTCTCACGTCTGGTACAACTGTTATAGTATATGGCTATAGGCAGATTCATTTGACAGGAGACAGAAAGACGGCAGAGTATAAAAGACTGATGAAAAAGAAGAAGATCGACGTATAAAAATCTGAAGAGAACAGTTCTGTTGACATCGGTGTGACATTTTTTTAAGAAACAGAATTAATAAGCGAACTTACAGTCCACTTGCTGGTAAGTGGCTAATGTAGCCCATGGTCACCTGCAACCAACTTCAAACAAAGAAAGCTACAAATTCATCGTAAGTCTGTGGAATAAGATGGGAAGCTACACAGCCTGTAATTATACAGGCTCTCTTTACCCCTCAGACTGGAATACAATAGTGTTAGCCCTGCTATTCGTCAGCTGAAACAGTGGTATTATATACATAATAAGCGGTAGTACTTACCCAGACGGATCCTTAGGCGGAAAGGTAGTTCTTCCACATAGTGAATTGTCGAATGGTTAACATGGTATTCCATTATCGATCAGAGGCTATGGAGTGTTTCTGCCTTTTTCCATTGTCGCCACTTACGGCACCGATTTTCGCACAACGAAAATTATGAGTGGGCCCCTCAGTCAAATACATCCATTGTCCGATATGAAATAATGGATTCTTATAGAAACATGGGAAACTTGCTAATTTTAATCAAATTACTTCTAAGATTTAAAAATTCCGCTCTATATCATAAATTATGTATAAAATAACTAATATCGCTTCAAGGATGACTACAATATTTCATGTCAAAATAGCGAAGGTGAAAAATTACGCGTACATTTCATTCCATTCATCACTATTTTTGTGACTTTATTTTTAGCTTAAAGTAAATAAATTGTAGTCTAGTTCATAAATTCTTTTCTTTGATTAACAATCCAATTTCAAAAATTGGAAACGTTTATTTTAGTTATTATAAAATGTATCAAAGCCATATATTAAATAATTAATACATTTATTTTATTAGTTCTTTATTATTTAATGTTGATATCCGAAAGATCCTGCTGCCAAATGATAATAATCTAATAAATGAATATAGGGATAATTATGAGCAGCTCCTCCAGGAGTGTAATTTAATACCGGTACATGAGCAATTTAAAATATCATTTGCGACATGTGAAAAGTATTATACCATCTTATATGACGCATTACGTAATTTAATCCCAATAAATAAGAATACGCGCAGACCGCATAAATTAATAACTTTACAATATAAATGTACTAATTATTATGGTAAAAGAACGTTGCAACATTTAATAACAAAAAAACACGCATAAATCAAAACAACGGTTTAAAAACAAGTTTAAAAACTTTATACTAATAAAGAGTAAAAATAGAATGTATCATGACGATCCATTGTACAACATCATAGGTAAGCCGTAATAATTATGTATGCATATATTTGTATGCATGTATGTATGTATATGTGTACGCGTACATGCAAAATTTATGCATATATGGAAAATGCCGTTACCCTTTAAATTACTGATTAATGTTATATTATTACTATTGGTTTGTCATATCAGTGGTAGTGTAATTGTATTAAGCTAGTCCTTTTTTATCTACTTTATTTTTCGCATGTTAGAAAGTAAGAGAGCATTTTTACCGCCAACAAACTGCTGAGCAGTTTGGCAGACTGTTAAACAGTAATTGTGTGATTTGTTATATTAAATAAATAAATAATAATTCTATAAGAGTTTCAACCAATATACCTTACTACTTGGCACATACTTTCACTCGTTTGTGAAAACGTTATGGAGCGATCGTGACTGCTGTTCTACTTTATTGCGTAAACATAGGTTTTCCCCATAGCGGAAAACACTCCTTTCCTCGAAGTGTTTTTATTTCGTTTTTTTTTTTCGGATAAATTTAAATTTACCACGACATTTTTATCACTACCTAGAACGTGGTAATGTTGTGACGTGTATTTAATACCGATGGAGACTCGGAGCTCGGAGTGATTTCGTACGATGAATTTACGGCTTGGGCTTAACATCTTTTTTTACATAGGGAAATTCCTGCGCATATCCGCCACTCGGGGGCAAGGACGGGTTATGTCGGAATTGCATCGATCAAAACCCCATAGTGTTTAACCTTTGACGCATATTCTTCTTTGATTTATTCGCACCTCGGAACTCTTCTTCCCATTTTCCTTCTCAGGCAAGGCTCACCAGGAAAACAAGACACGCATTCTTTCACGGCCCTCAATTCCACACGCGCAACGCTTCCTAAGTCCGATACGCGGAGGCCATAGGCCCATAAAAATGGAACACTCGATAAAGCCACGTCTTTTGATGCAATGATCTATTACAATATTACAATATTTTTTCTTGGTACTAAAAACTTTGTACAGTGTAGGCCTCGCCTTGGTTTTGAATTTAAAACCCAACACCTGGGTATATAATAGGCCAACGTACGGCTGGTAAATTTCATTCGCGATTCCAACTATATCGTACTCTTTTAAGAACAATACCAATATATCATAGAATATCACGGGTCCGCAGTGACTCCTGTTGCTCTATGCTATGTATAGGTAATATACAACGCACTACGCAGAATGATATGAGACCTAAAAAAATAAAAAACGAATTTTTCAATTTCAAATTTCCCGATATATTTTTTACAAGCTAAAAATTGTGGAGATAGGAAGGAAATTGATCGACAGCCAATTAATGCATCTACGATTTTGTTTAAAAACAATGTTTAATAATAGTTTGGTATAAATAATGATTAATGATTAAATAACGATTTTGGTAGGAAAAAGTGGTGAGATTTTGTGTATTGAAATTATGCTTTAAAACAAGTGTTTAGATAGTGATATAAATCTCAGGTTCTTTCAATTCACTATCCCGTGTATCTCTGGGTATAATTGCCGTCAAAAATCTTTCAAGAACATTGAAAATTCAAATTAGAGTATGCTGTACGGTCTAAGATCTTAGCATTTTGTAATAGACAAATCGTAACAACAAAATATTTTCCATGCGCATGTTTGTGGAGAAGTTTTAGGCCAAAAACCAGAAAGTTTTATTGCGTTCATGGACGTGGAAAAGGCTTATGATAGGTAGATAGGACTGTGTTATGGCAAACACTGAACTCAATTGGGTTGAGCGCTGGTTTGAAACAGGTATTGAGGTCTCTTTATAGGAACTCTAGTGTTTGTATCAGGATCAACGGGGTCTATTCTGACTGATTTGGCATCCAAAAAGGTGTCAGACAGGGCTGTATATCATTCCCTTGGCTGTTCAACCTATTTATGGACAGTTGCTTGCAAACTTTGAAAGATGAAGAATGTGAGTTAAGAATGGGCGAGTTAACCGTCAAATGCCAAATGCAACGTCATCTCCAGTTCTATCGAAAACTGGATCTAGCCTGCTTAGAATACGTACGCAGATACGGCAGGCAAAAGCAGCGGAAGCTCAAGAAACTCTCAAAGCCACGTCTGAGGCTGAGGAAACAGGTGAATCTGATGTTGACAGTGGCGAGACCAATATCTCTCTCGACGCCTCCACAAGGTCGATTGGTGGCAGCCATATGCTGCTAAATGAGTTACCCAGACATGCAAATGAAATCTTACAAAGAGCCAAATCAGACTTAGAAAAGCCGGGCAACTTAAAGAAGGAAATTCGCGAGAATGTAGTTGCGGGTCTGCACACACTGTACGAAATGATCCTTAAGTTGTCTGACTCACGCATGCTACACATGCTCGAATCCAGTAAGCATAATGCGAATGTCTACAGAGAATCAGAACGGCTCACCCAAAGACATGCCCGATTCATGCATGAAACTCTAGGTCAGTATGCCACATTGAAAGAGAGCATAGAGAAGCTCCACAAGGAAACTGAGTCAACCAGACTTATTGTCTCATACGATCTTTGTGAGGCAGTTTCAGCAACGAAGAGAGAAATAACAAATTTCAGAAACGAAATAAAGCTTAGGCTCAAACTTGGCAAGTCAGATGCATATTATCTCGGAAGAGGTAAAGTTACTTCGAGACAATATGAGCTGCGAGAAATATTTCCGAAGCCATCAGAAAAGACCTGTGTAATGAACTGCACAAGAATAACATAATACCGTTCACTATCACAGAAATAGAGAATGTATTTAACAGCATGAGTCCAAAGAAGTCCCCAGGAGAGGATGGTTTAACGGTGGATATATGTGAGAAGTCATATGAAGCGGCACCGCAAGTACTTATAGCTATTTACAATAAATGCCTGTCTCTTGGATATTTCCCCCCAGACTTGGAAAGGCGCGGTAATCAAAATTATCCCAAAACCCAACAAAGAAAATTACACTCTTCCTAAATCTTATCGGCCTATCGATCTTCTACCGGTCTTTGGGAAAGTTCTGAAAAAGATGTTCGTACACCGAATGTCATGGCAACTAGGACGAGAAAATAAGATGAGCAACAGACAGTATGGCTTTGTAGCACAAAGGGGAACCGAGGATGCCCTGTATGATGCAATGAAAATAATAGAAAAAGGCATAAAATACAAAGAAATAGTTGTCATAGTATCCTTAGACATCGAAGGGGCTTTTGACAACGCTTGGTGGCCTGCTATTACAAAGGAAATCAACAACAAACAATTAGATAAAACTATCCAAAGACTTTTAAGCAGCTATCTGTCTGAGAGGCATATAAAACTCAGGTACGCAGGCACTGAGATCAGCAAGGAGACAAACAAAGGGTGCATTCAGGCCTCAATCTGTGGCCCATTATTGTGGAATCTACAGCTTGACTCCCTGCATCAGGAAATAGAGGATTTCAAAATATACATACATATACAGGCATATGCTGATGATATAATATTAATAGCAAAGGGGAAAACAGTAAAAGACATAGAGATAGAGCTAAATCCAGCAATAAATCACATACTAAACTGGGGCAAAAAGAGGAAAATGTAATTAGCTGCCCATAAAACACAAGCAATTGTCACTACTAAAAAGATAAAGTATGATACTCCAAAAATAGTCCTTGGTAGCACTGTAATAAATTACACAGACAGTTTGACGATATTAGGGCTTACAATCGATTCCAATCTAAACTTTGTTAAGCATTGGATAGGGTTGCAGAAAAGGCCATAAAACTATATAAGAAGGTGTCTAGAACAGCTAGAGCAAGTTGGGGCCTCAATTCGGAAATTCTGAGGACTATATACATAACAGTTGTAGAACCTACAGTTCTGTACGCGGCAAGTATTTGGGGAGCCTCAGCCTATAGGAAACAAATTAAAATAAAGTTGGACAGAATTACCAGATCGTTCAGTATAGCAATCTGCAAAGCGCACCGAACAACATCTCTGATCTCCTGCGCAACACTTGCCAGAATCATCCCACTGGATCTAAGAGCCCTGGAACAAATGGAACTTTATGAAACGAAAAGAGGTAAGCCAATAACATACCTTCCGGGAAGAGCATTTGCGAAACCAGTAAATCCACATACCTTGCCCCATCCAGCGAAGCGGATTAAGATCACATACGGCTCAATCACAGCAGAGAGTGACATAGATAATATTGGAAACAGCTGGCCATGCATCTACACCGATGGCAGCAAAATCTCTGGCAAAGTAGGTGCTGCAATTACCTGCTGGATAGGTGGAAAAGAGAAATTCAAAATGCGCCTGAAACTCGGTAACCATTGCCGCGTTTATCAAGCGGAGCTGGTAGCTGTACTAAAAGGTCTGGATACCATGCTCAAACAACACTCACTGAAGAATGCAAACATAATTAGCGATTCTCGATCGGCGCTGGAATGTTTATCGAACCCAAATACTCTGCACCCCATCGCAGCTGAGATACTGAATCGCGTGGCAGAAGTAAGAAAGCACAACGGAGAAGTAAAGTTTTTCTGGGTTAAAGCACATTGTGGTATTCCAGGCAATGAGAAAGCAGACGAATTAGCAAAATCCGAAGCAGAAACCTCCAAACAGGCACCTGTTTATGACTGCTTCCCCCCTATCATTCGCAAATCACCTCATCAGAAAGCATACTCTACTCAAGTGGCAGGAAAGATACACCAGTGCAGATACATGTAGAGTCACAAAGACATTCTTCCCAAACGTCGAAGAAGCATACAAGACGCTGAAGAAAATTAAAATGTACAACTTAAGATCTAAAATATTTACTGGACATGGTGGCTTTAGAGCTTACCTGCACAAGTTTAGGTGAGCGCAAAGCCCCTACTGTGACTGTGATCATGCAACACAACAGTCTATCGAACATATACTCTTAGAGTGTCCCAAATACTCAATAAACAGAATGACCTGTGAACACCGTATAGGCTTTACGCTTAAGGAAGAGACCTTAAGCAGAGCTATTAACGACAATGACGGACGAATTAATTTTTTAAAGTTTGCTGAAGTATGCGTTAGAAAGGCGCTTAAGGAGAATGGATCAAAAATTAGTTGAGGCATTTATAGAAAGCAGAATATTTAGTCACATAAACTCTTGTAATAGTATAGTAGTAGTAATACATCTTGTAAGGCACATACAAAAAAAAATAATAATAAAAAAACAAAAAAAAAACAAAGACGAAATGTTAAAAGATTGTACAGTAAAAAAAAAGAATAAAGGTTGCTGTAAAATAAATAACAGCAGATGAAATGAGAATATTAATAAAATAAAAAAACCGTCAAATGCCTTTTTTACGCCGATGATCAAGTCATATTTATATCGTCGGCGGCTGAGTTGCAAATTAATGATGGTTATATTAATGAACTGGGCATTAAAAGAAAGCGAAACGAAAGTGAAGGCAAGTAAGATGAAATTGGTGGTTTTTGAAAGAGAAGAATATAAAACGTTATGTGGAATAAGAATAAAAGGGAGATTGAGCAAGTGGATGAGTTCGTGTATTTGGGATGTGTATTTAGCAGGGATGGCTGATATGAAAAGGATATAAAACAACGAGTGAATGCAGTAAATAGGGTTAATGGAGCACTAAACTCTATTATGAAGATTCAGAATATGTTAAAAAAGACACGTGTGGTAATTCATAATGCTGTGTTAATCCCTACTTTAATGTATGGTAGTGAAAGTTGTGTGTGGCAGAAGAAGCACAAAAGTAGAATAAATGCCGTAGAAAGGCGCTCTTTACGGAGTATGCTAGGGTTGAATCTGAATGTAAGGATGAGGAATTGTGTGATAAAAGAAAAATATGGTATGCAAAATGATGTTGTGACCAGGATTAAAAAAGGAATGCTTCGGTGTTTTGGTCGTGTAGAAAGAATGAATGCGGAAAGAGTGACAAAGCAAACTTATATGGCAGATGTGAACGGCAGAGTCGGGAAGGGACGCCCTAAAAGAAAGTTTATCGACCAAATTGGCAACATTTTGAAAACGGACCATATTAGAAGTACACTTAACCGACGAGCGTATATGCGTAGATATATGGATGTAAAGGAGACGAGAGAGGTATATCAGGATCGCGCCAAATGGAAGTTCGTGTCTCTGCTTACCCCTCTGGTTGACAGACGTGAGTGTTTTTGTATGTTATGTAGAATGGTTAATTACTTGTGAAGACGTTCACCAGATATTAGAAATTAATATTAAATTTTTCGTTCAATATAGGTTATAAATAATACTTGCTGAAAGTCCCTCTTATTTTGATTTACCATATATTACAACTGGTTCGGAAAACACCTCTGTCCTGGTAGGAAACAGCATTTATTTTTTCAAAAAATAAAAATGGTTTACAAGGACTCGAAAACTGAACGGACTCGTAAAATGAATGTAATATATGTGCTAATTACAAGACCTTCACATGGTAGCAATAAGACTGTAATAGAAACGTTGAAATGGTTGGTTCCAATTTGCGGTAATACAGCTTTTATTATTAAATCACTTAGATTTAATAATGAAAGTGGTTAGTCTCTGATCGCCTAAAAGAGAAAAGATACACAGTGGTTGATTTTCATAATGCGTTGTATACTTACTTGTGAAAGACTTTCTATTGAATCCTACACATTGAAGATTTCTTGAAGTCAAGTAAAACAAGTCTACAAGGTTTCTCCTAAATAAAGCAGAGTAGGACAACGCTCTCATAGAATACTGCCGTAAAAAGGCAGATTAATGCTGCTGCATTTCGTATTGTAAAGTAAAAAACCCAGAGATCATTTTTACTGGAAAAGAGTCATTCAATTTTAGTCCTCAGACATGAAAATGCATCTGAATTTTGATTCCTATTCGATGATAAATTTAGGTATCCTTTTTAAAAGGCCGGCAACGGCCTTTTAAAGTTCGTTGGACTGTATGCTCGTTTGACATCCTTTCAATAGAAAAGCGGGATAAGCCTTCATCACTAAATCACTGTACTAAAGCCATATCAGTGGTGATTGCAATAAGTAATACCCTATACATTGAAATAATACTAGTTTTTACGGAATTTATCGCGTATATTTAACTTTTTAAATACCCGACGTTTCGAGAGCTTTACAGCACCCATGGTCACGGGGGGGACTGAGATGTTCAACGTCCAGATGTCATAGTTAACCGCGGTTACCATAGATAATAAAATTTTACTTTTGTTCCGATCTACACAAATTCCGATCTTCAAAAGATAAATTTCGTAAAAACTAGTATTATTTCAATGTGTTCGTGTAAATATAAGAAATCATTATGTAATACCCTATACTTGCTCTTAATTATTATACTATCAATTACTCTCAACTACATATGCGGCCGCAAGATTTTTTGGAATATTCCCATGAGCACCTCCAATCGGATGATAAATTGTTCTCTAACGCTGCACAAGCAGCAAGCTTCCAATTACTGTGTATTTAATATTGCGCTCAGAAAAATTCTCATTACACATTTACTGTAGTCGAACCTCACGAAGAGCTAACGAGTTTCTATTCAGAGATTTATTACGGTTTTTCGCTTTGTTGATGATATTTGAATGTATTTTAAATCTGAACATTTGCAGTAATATTTTTTTATAGGAATTATATGATTGCATCTACGATTTGAGTTTAGAAATGTATAATAATTTCAGACAATCTAATGTGACGTTAGCGTTTTAATATCCACTGCTTTATCAGTCACTACTTATGTTCTGTTTTCTGCTATAACCT